TTCAACTCCCAGAATTCCCCAGCCAGCAAGGCTGGCTGGGGAATTCTGGGAGTTGAAGTCCCCAGGTCTTAAAGTTGCCAAGGTTGAGAAACACTAAGCTAGAGAATACAAAACATGAAATATGTAACAGCTATACACTGGGACTTGTTCTCAGACAGATCTCACATCATACAAGGCTATGCAGGCATTTACAGATGGGTATCCTGGCAAATTACATTTGCTCTTTAGCTACCCAGAGTTGTGGATTTCAGATGGGCATCCAAACAACCAAACATCTTTAGAAGAGTCTTTTTTAGAATTTCACACTGAAGATGCAATGATCTAGCAGGAAGCTGAGTGCACTGGGACACTGGAAGGAGAGGAAGGCTTACTTAACATGCCCTTATTCCCACAATCTAAGAATACTGTATCTATCTGTGCGACACCCTTCCATAGCCTTAGTTATATGAAGGTAGTTTAGAATTGAACACACAGCCCGAATGGAATGGGCAGTGCCTTCTTTGAGAGATGGCTGCAGTGTCTGAAACTGTGGGAGTGGGGCAGATGTGCTTAAGGGACATTGGGTGTCACCGTGACACCCTACAGACTGAACCTTTATGCATTCTGAAGTATGGCTGCAGAGAATAGGTTGTGAGAAACATTATTTAAATGCCAAGCAAGTTCTCAAGGGAATGAGACATCACCTCACTGCAGTGATGTGATTTTTTTCCACAATGTTAGTTCTGTCCCTTTGTACCCAGGGAATTTTTCTCTTTTATAAGGCAACGGGAGGACCATAAATAGTGGCAAGTTCTTCCTTAATGATGTACATGGAAGAATAACTATCTGGGTGCACCTGCCTGCTACAGCCTAATCTGAACTTACTTGACTCTAAACCTCCAACCCTTGTCGTTAGGGGAAACGTAGCTAGCTTGACCTTCTTTTCTGCTTTCCCATATATGTTACCCTTTTGCCTCTTCTTTACCATTTAAGGTTTCTGTAGCCATAACTTAAATGTTCCCTGGAGTTGAACTGGGATAGTGGAAATTTGGCCCAAGATGTCTCACTGGCTGCGAATACTTGTTTTTTGGACCACTGATATTGAGTGTTTTTAAAGCTGTAATCAGAAGTGCATGCCTAACCATACAGTATAGGTTTGATGGTTTTAGGAAATATAACTCCAAAGGATGACACTGTAGAGAGAATGCAGATTCTAGAAAGTATATTCAAAGAAATGCATTTGACTGTTCAAAGTAAATAACCCTTTTATCTTTTAATTTTAATAAATAAAAATATCATCTTTACCAGTAGTTGGTTGGAAATGTTTATTGTTGACCAGAATACATATCCCCATTTCTGGATAATCCATTCTATAACTTTCATCTGCTTGTATCACAGAATCAACAGATTTGCTAAAAGGAATGCTTTTCCTATGAAGAAATAAAATAATGTGAGACTAATGTTAAGCCATTCAAGTTATAAAACTGAAGACCAAGATCTTTGATATTATGGAGTTTGTGTAAATTCAGATATTTGTCAATGTTAATCTCAGATGAAGGATTGCTAGCAAAAAAAACCCTAGTTACATATAAAGAATCAGATCATGAAGAATGAGTAAAATAACTACATATCTCATGGCTGTTTAATGCAAGAAGATTGAATTAGTTTAACTTTATTTCTGATACTATAAGAATCAGAATAATGTACAAGAGGGAGATGATATCACTGAAAATAAATGAGATATAGGGATTGTGGCAATATACACAATAGGGCTGTGCATATCCCAAAGAAGTTTTAGAAGAGGTGATTTGGACCCCAACACCTCTCTGCTATTCATTAAAGCAGCCTGACTTTCTGGTTTCTGTGAAAGCTGAAAAAAAAGTTGTTTTCTTTAACAGCTGACTTGTTAAAGCAGCAGTATCTTTTTTTCATGCTCATGCAAAAACCTGAACAAAAGACAGGTTGCTTTAATGAATAGCAGAGAGGTGTTGTGTTTATGCAAGGTCCCAAAAACTTCTTGTGATGAGTGTGTACCCCAAGCTCAAGGAGATAAAACAAAAACATGTTCTATCTTTGTTCTCTTTTGGATACAAAATTATTACAACTTTTATAAAAAGAGCTATTTAGTGAACTTTTAGTTATAAAACCATGAGATACTAAACTAAGGTAGGATCTATTTGTAATTATCTGGGGGCTGATCGTTTAATAGATTTCTCTTATTTATTTGGTTGAGATTCACATTTACAAACTCATACTTCCCACAGTACCCGCATTTTCACACAGAATATAAAGTAAGGGCACTGTTACAATCCTCATTGTTTTATTTCTCTTTGCTTTTGCTACAGAATAATAGTGAGTAGTAAGAAGTGCCAAATAAAACATTCACTGCTGGCTGATGCACTCTTGGTTGATGCCAGTCTCCTTGTAGGAGCTGAGTGTGCTGTGGATAACTATTACATTTGGTTTAAATAGGTCAGTGACAGGTCTCATAAATTACTGTTTTAACTAGAAAAGTAATTGTTAAAAAAAAAAGACACCCCCTTCCCTCCACCCCACAAAGAAGCCCTGCTTACCCTTCAGAACCAGAGAAAGTCTTTGCATCCACTACAGTTTGTGCTGATTTCAGGACATGGTTGTCATCTGCCATAGTTATTTCTGTTGTAAATAAAAGTTTATATAATGTTAATTGTATAATCAAATAGTGAGCACCTTTTCCTTCATGACACCTTAAAATGTAATATAGATACCCAACCCTGTTTGCCTTTCGTAAGGCACTGAAGACCTGGCTGTTCCTCCAGGCATTTGGGGCAGGATGGGGATGGACTCTGCTACTCTGGGTGGCGAATAGTTTCCTGGGGCACCAGGGGGGTTATGTTTGTGGGGGGGATTCTTTGTTTTTAATCTTGTAAGCCACCCAAAGTCACTTGTGTGAGATGGGCAGCTATATAAATGAAATAAATAAATCTCTAACAAGCTGTTGCAAACAGTGTGTGACTTAGCAAAGTATGATTTTGTATTGTAAATTCCTGCATGAATGCACTTAGAATTACTTAGCAAGCTTTGCAGATTGCATCGTTGCATTGTAAATCCCTTCTGAGAAACAAAGTCAATAGTTACTGCATCTGTGGGACTGAGGGACATATGGTATGTTTTCCCTGAACGTGGAACTATTTCAGTTAGGCAATTTGTCTACTGACCTATGATAGAGCAATACCTGAAGGGGTCTCAGGATGCTAATTTCCCTCTCTTTCATTGGATTGCCCTAGCTATATGTGCTAGATATCCTACAGCAGGCATCTATGTGAACACCTTCTGCAGTCCTGATGCCGGACTCCTGAAAACAAGGTGTGACTATTAAGGGGGGCTCCCCTTCACCTGTGAAGTCTGCTCAAGGCAGAACAGTGGCAAATGAGGAAGATGGACGCTATCTAGGATGGTAAGGAATATGGTCATAAGCCTAAAGCCAATACCAAGGAAGACAATAAATATACCAAAACCAAGGGCAGATAATAAAGCAAAGTCTGAGAGCCAGATATTCAAAGTGACATAGACAGTTTTCACAGCTCTTGGACAAAGGAATGCCCAGGAAAAGACAAATCACATTTCTACTCCAGGAAAGAATGTGCAGGGTGGATCTTAGTACACCCAAGGCAGAGACAATCCCGGGGTGGGGTGCAGAATTCAAGAACTGTCAGGACCTGGACACGCAACCATCAGAGGTGAAAAAGGCTTAGGGTCTACAGATACTCAATTAATAGCAGGATAAAGAGTACAGGTGCATTACTGAAACCAACCAGACCAAGCTGGGGAAATTCTCAACAAAACACGTCATGCTACTCATTGGGTTCTCTTTGCTGCTGCTTAAAAATGGCAGATTAATATCCCAGCTGAATTCATTTGCTGGGACTAAATACAGTGGGGCAAAAAAGTATTTAGTCAGCCACCAATTGTGCAAGTTCTCCCACTTAAAAAGATGAGAGAGG